CCACAGAGCAGGGCGTTAATATAATCCAAATGAGAGGTAAGAAGTGAAAGCACCAAAATATTGCATGTATCTGTAGTTATAAACTGCCGGTTACAGCCAATGTTCCTGATCCGGTAGTAACATGATTTGGCTATAGCGTTCACTTGTTTCTCCACGTTCAGTGAACTATCAAATTACAATTTTTTAACAGCTGGGACAGTCTCAATAGATTTGGCATCGACCTTGAGCTGGAGAGCCATTGTTTGCTGACACTTTGGGGAAAAGACGATTAGTTCAATCTTTTCCTGATTAAGCTTTAGCATGTTGGCGTTCATCCAGGTACTGATATCTGTCGTTGTTCACTTAGATAAGACTGTATCCAGCATAGTTCGGTATCAGTCACTCCATAAGAGTACTCCAGACGTTTCTAAAGTATGCCATAGTCGATGACGTCTAATGCAGCTGTCAAAACTAGCATGACAAGCACCGCTTTGCACTTGTTATACAATGCAGAAGCTATGTCATTATGAACACGTAGGTGGGCCGTCTCAGTAGTGTCCAGGGCGGTAGGCCGATTGCAGGTTGTCATGGAGACTGTTTGCATGGAGAGCCTTTAAACACCGGGACACAAGATCTTAGACCGGGACACAAGATCTCCAAGATCTTAGACAGAAAAGGCAGATTTGATAGTAGGCGGTAGTTCTTCAACTCCTCCTTGTCCATTCCAGGCTTCTTCAACAATGGTCTAACATGTGCCTTCCTGAAACACAATGGAACCTTTGATTCAGCCAATGATTTGTTCATGATTGATGTAATCAAAGGAAGCAGTGCTTCAATACATTGGTTTACTAGATCTGTATGCAGTGGATCAAGCTCACAGGACATCGATCGCGAGGTCATGATGATATTGCGCAACTCGTCCTGGGTTGTTGGTGAGAGCTTTTAAAATTAATTTAATGTCAGCAGTCATGACAAAGATATCATTGTCAGCATTAGAGTTCACTTCCGATATATTTTTTCTGATCGAGCTGATTTTATTCAGAAAGTAATCACTGAACTTGTTTGACAAGTCTTTCTCAGAATTACAGCTTGGTAGGATAATTTCACTTTTCTGACCCATTAAGTTTTTGGTGAGTCTGAAAAGCTGCCTATGGTCCTAACCACATTCTTCAAATCTTTCGAAATAATAAGCATTCTTTGACTGAATGAGACGTGAACCAACTAGTCGACATTGTTCCCTATAAATCTGTTGGTGAACGGTTAATTTGGTCCTTCGCCACTGTATCTGCTTTTCAACGGTTCTATTTTTCTACGCGGAGATTTTCATTATACCACGGGGCATTTGGGCACCGAGCGACAGTTTAAAACTAAATTCAGAGGAATAACTGATTTACAGTAACCAGCTGTTATTGGCTTGATGACATGTAGATTCTCGCACAATACTGATGTTGTCGATATCCGTGTTGAAGTCAATTTAGGTGAACCGGATTGCGTTTGAATGTGTTTAAGAAGGTGCGCGCACGTGGATTGTATGAATCGGGCAACAGTTTTTTTTTCATCGTCTCATTTAATCTGTGAAGATTTTTTAAGACTTCTGTTACGTATTTCAAAAGTAAATGGATAAATTATAGATTTATAAACTTTCGTGTGATAAGCAATTCCAGATAATTTGTGGCAGTCATTAATAAATAATTTTCATATTATAGCTCTAACGGGCCACCGTAAATGTCTACCGGTTTGTCGCCTCACTGAATCTTTGTGTGGTATGTTAAAAAATAAGGTTCCCTTTATCATAACAAAGCGTATCGGATTTCGTTTGCATCTGATTTGCAGCTAAAGCATTCTAGTGCATAAATAATTTAAAACAACAAGGTGACATTACGGCATGTATTACATAATATGATGTAAAATGCGTTTAACTTTCCGCATCACCTATCAGTCTCAGTAATTTTTGAACACATGTTTGTTTATACGTCTCTTCTTGGATCCTGTTGTGGTCTTTTTATATAGTTTCAGGTTACTTTGTTTTATTGTATATCAAATTCCTGCCTCGAAGTGTCTGTAATGCTATGCTGTGGTATCGTACGTCAGTAGTTTATCAACTATATTTATGTACCACCTGTGACAAGTAGTCTTAATATTTGACCACCAGATACCTTGAACGGTTGCGGAACACTTGACTTACTTTTAAGGTAACTGTGGTCTTAAATGTTAAACGTTTCAAACAACATTTTATAACAAAAAACACTTGTATATTATAAAGACCAGAAGTGCATTTATTTATATGGACAAAACCTTATAAATTTAGTCCAATAGTCATAGCAAAGAAACATAAAATGTAATTTTTACATGTTTTAGGGGTTTAGATCGACTTTCGGTAAAAAGCAATACATTATATATAATAGATAGATAGAAAAATCAATCAATAAATATTAGGCATCTTGTACATTTATCTATTACTCCTTTGAAATCATGTTAGCTCATCTATTACATGTACCCTTAGGCAAGTTTTAAGACATCACTGACAAATTCCATCCCTAATTGAGAGTTGGGGTGAGAAAACGTGTCACCTATGCCCATATGTTTTGCACGATTTCTCACCCGGGTGAGAAACGTGTCTAGGTGAGAAATCGTGCCGTAACAAGTGTCTATTCGCATGTCAGGGGCAACGGAAGCGCCATGCGAGTACGGCATGCTCTAGGTGTTTCCGTGGAGTACATGGATGCACTATGACTTGCACGACACAGATGCCGTCGTAAAGACTAAATAATATATACCTTTCATTATTTCTATGCATGTTTTGTGGTTTTTTGTTTGGACAAATTGGCATATGTAATGCGAAAAAAATCATTATTTCCAGGATTAATACCATTCAATGAGGGAGCTTTTGTAATAACACCTCAAGTTCGACAAATAGTACATGCTACATGTTATGTACACTTTGCTTGGTTGTACATTGACACATTTACCAACGAACACCGTTGAAAACAAATCCATTTTGTGACGGTTTTCATTCTAGAGACCTCAGGTTTACACAATGGCGTGACGCCATCGCCTGGCCCATTGTCATATGGCCCATGGAATATTAGAGATAGTGTTTTTCTCCTTCCCACACAACTCCAACAACCCAGGTGGAGTATAAAATGGTCTGGGGTGGGTGTTGCGGTATCTGTGCTGTAGCATTCAAGTGAGGTGGCACTATAAATGATAACGTTGGAAGCACGGTCCCACTACAAACAGAACACAATACATCTCCAGCACTCACACAGACATACACGCATATGGAGATATTAGCCAGGTGGCATAGGACTAGTAGTTAGCGCCTGATCAGGCAGCTCCTGCGAATTCCTCAATATTGTATTGATTAATATATATATGCTAATTGTATTGACTGTATAAAATTGTACATCTATCTACTGTAAAGCGCTTTAGAGTGGCTTATGTTAGCTAGATATGGCGCTATATCCAATGTTGTATATTATTTATTATTATTATTATTGTTCAATTGTTCTACGTCATATATTTTCAAATCACATTTTGATCAAAATTTGGCTTGGCACTCTCTAAGAAGATTCCTGTGGCACTCAAGGGGTTAGGTAACTGTTGCACTGTCTGTATTACCTTATTTAAATTTAACTTTTATAGTTTTTTATTTGATATAATTTATACTTTAAAGCCCAAAGTCTGTCAATAGTGTTCGATTTTGAGTAGCTCAGATGATACATTTTTTCATGCTTTTTAAAATAACGACTGGACTGCCAGCCATATATACATACATGTTGCATTTTAATCTGCATACTATGACGTTTAAATTGTATATATAAAGCATTACAATAAATTTAGGGAAAAATTCTTTAACTTGATTTCCCTTAAACGCCAATATCATATGGAAAGAAGCATAAGCAATTTCCTTAAGGTAAGGAAACGTTTATGAAACTGATGCCTGAATACTTGTTGAGGGTATTTCCAATTCTCACAATAAAAATATAAAAATATAGAAAAAGGATAAGTGAACAAAGTATATATGTATATTTATATTAATATAATTCCGTGATATATGTGCTTGAATTCCAACAGGTAAGTTTTACAGGTAGATTCACTTGTTGAAACTCAGACACTTTTCAAGAAAAAGACTATAATCCTTATCAAATCAAGTTGCCCTATAGGTAAATTAAAATGTTTACAGGGGTTGAGCGTCCGAGTCGTGTAGCGGCGGAGGAGGGGACACATTCTACTAGAAGCAATCCCTCGTATTCTGGGAAATCCTTTTAATATGATTTTTAAGAGTAAAACCCGACAATATAAAATGTTGTACTTCACTAAGTAGTTTTTGATTTACATAAACCTTCAAGAGTTTTCAATGTGTATAGACATAACAACACTTTTTTTATCAGAGGAAACAGTGAGAATGTAAATATATGGGAATGAACCCTTTTAATGTTTAGACAAAGAGGAACCCGGTAGTGTTTAGACGGGAATACATCTTTAATGTTTAGACGGGTATAAACCATTAAGAGTTAAGACGGGGATAAACCTTTTAGTGTTTAGACGGGGATACACCCTTTAGTGTTTAGATGGAGATAAACACTTTTAGTTTTAAACGAGAATAGGCCATTTAGAGTTTAATTGAGAATAAACCTTTTAATGTTAAGACGGGGATAAACCTTTTAATGTTGAGACGAGGATAAACATTTTAATGTTTAGACGGATAGAAACCCGGTAGTGTTTAGACAGGGATAAACCTTTTAATGGTTAGACGCGGATTAACCCTTTAATGTTTAGTCGGGGACAAATGTTTTAGTATTTGTATGTTACATAGTGTTTATATAAGAAACGTTATAATACATGTAGGAGACAAACCTTTAAGTGTTGATATGAGGACAACACTTCTAGCCGATATACGTGTACGAGGAGGAACGATTCTTAGTTTGGGACAAAACTGAGTACATGTATATGCAGCAAACACCTTTAAAACAGACCATGCAAATTTAAAAAAAAAAAGGTTTTATAAGAATACTTACACAATGTTTTTTGCACGGTTACTGATTCTGCCGAGTTTTGTCTCCAAATCACAATCTGTTTCTCACTCCTCTTGTATTAAACATGTATCCAGCTATATCCAGCGCTATTTGTACCTTTGCATCACGTTTGACAGTCTTAAGTACGCTCATAGTGTTTGGATGGCGTGTGTTTCACACGCTTAGAAAAGGGAAAAGTTTGGTGAAAAGTAGTAAACGGTCACACAAAAAACTCGTACACAACGCTGTATTTACAGGGTAGAATTGTTTACGTGTCGTGAAAACTTTCAACGCGGTGTAGAGTTTACCCCCTCTCCCGTTTGGGACAGTTCGACACGCTTACCGCACATTTATGTCATCTCTGAAACTGAGCAAATATACTAAAGCTAGCTTGCTGTTAGATCTTATATATTGGATTCAAATATCGAGTACGTACCCGGATGCTAAAGCATATAAGTCTGACAGGGAGCTGAAAGCTACATATATTTAAAGTGAAAAAACCTATGTTATTACGGTTATATACAAGAGGTGTTTTCAAAGCTCATGTCTCGTGTTTTAATTAGACTTGCAATAAAAACTTTCTTGGTGTCATATCTTTACAACAGAAAATAGTGTTATTTGTATGGCTACAGATAATTTCCTTTCTGCATACACTACATTTGTTTATGTAATATTTTGATTCTTTAAAGCCAAACTAAACTGTTATATATTTATATCATTTTTTTCTGACACAGCAAACCTACGGTTTTATTCTGAAATAAAATTAATTTCCTTCCATAAATATATGATTTGACTGATACCGGCATCAGAAAATTCATGTGCAATATTGTAAATGTGAATTGCATCATCAATATTAAGAAGATAATTTAGATACAAACCCTGTGAAATTGACAAAATAATTCTTTCAAATGATAGAAAAGTTTGTTGTAAAGTCGGTGATGTAACCATCAGTATATGTGCATTAATGTACATGTAATTGACATTGGAGAAAGTGTATCAAAATTGTTGCCGATGGTTTAGTTTTTTTCATGATGTTATATCTTGCATAGAAGCGTTGTTCCAAGATAGCTGGACTTCTCATGAGCAATTTTTGGAAACTTTTCTTACTGAAACGTCCTTACTTGGATACAATAGCATTAAACTCAACCCGGAAACACTATTCTGACAACTGGCTAACCATAGATGCTTACGGTGACATCGCCATAAAAAGGTATGTAGACGAGAACAGATCAAGTAAGTAAAGTTAAGTCGTTACGAATATCACAAAGAGCGTGTCACCGTTCAGCTAGGAATGCGTTTGTCTCTGTTTGTAACGTTTGTATGTATGTAGCGATAGCTGTGTGTTTCCGTTAAAAAATGTACACCCGAAACACACTACTTAATGCAAAAACTGTGATAAGGTATATACCCTTGAGGAATAATGAATTTCAGGTTGCTGTTAGATCTGATACATCAGGGTCTGATATATACTTTAGATTGTTAATAGGAAAACCTCTGTTAATACTGTTGGTAAACCGGATGAAACATACTTTGCTAAGACTGTACAGTCATGTAAAGCTAGAACCAAATCTCAGTGTTTTATGTATATGACTAAATATCAATGAGTAAGGTGTACTTCATTCAGTATTTAAATCATCACTTAAGTTTTCAAGTAACTGAACCATGGGTGTGTACTGAAATGCATTCTTGTACATATGTCTGCATTACATGTATATACAGTTGTGTGACCGCACAACGCACCAAAAATAGCGTGCGCAAGGTAACAGAACAGGTAAATAACAATTTGATAGGTGACCGGAGTTTTACCTGGCCTGTACCTGACACATAGAGCTGATATGCGATACGGTACGTTTAGTATTTGTTATTTGCATTCGGTTTGCCTACAGCTCCCCTTCACCTGGGTTTTTACACCTTTGGCCCTACCCGACGAAATACGTAAGCGCCCCGGGCGGGGTAAAACTACGATCCAGGTACACAATTTTTTTGTTTACACACGAAACCGTATATATTGTTAAGGCATTCCTCAATTTACACCAACCACGATTGTTATCGCACATCGTTCGTCCATCGTGCACACAAATGTGCTCAAGCAATGATCGTCCAACTTTTTATCGTTCGCACATCGTGCACACACCGTTCACACACCGTGCACACATCGTGCGCACACCGCACATCGTGTAACGTTGTGCGATCCCACAACTGTACATACTTCTCCCGACGTCTTACACACGACTTTAACCTACACCGGAGGATTGAGATGCACATTTAAAATACCCAGGAATGTTAATCCGTTACTCTGCTCATAATAAACGCAATACGTATATTTCCCTTCGTTTTATAATACTACATGTTATAGGCCCGTTCTCGTATGATATAACTCAAGCTGTCTGCTTTTTGTATCAATATCGTGTGAGTCATGTGATCATCTGGCTAGGTTTTACACGAATAATATAAAACAGGACATATTGCCGACTTTTTATCTTGAACTAGAAGGCGAAGTTAAAAAGGGTTGCAATTGTAACAAATACCTGGAACGGATGTCCGTACCCAACATTTAACAGGTTGTGCATACAAGGGGTGCCATATACATGTAGATCATTAACACTGAGTCTAATTAAGATTGAACGGATGCCCGTACCCAACATTTAACGGGTTCCGCATACAAGGGTGCCATATAGATCATTAATACTGAGTCTAATTAAGATTGAACGGATGCCCATACCCAACATTTAACAGGTTCCGCATACAAGGGTGCATTATAGATCATTAACACTGAGTCTAATTAAGATTGAACGGATGCCCGTACCCAACATTTAACAGGTTCCGCATACAAGGGGTGCCATATAGATCATTAACACTGAGTCTAATTATGATTGAACGGAAGCCCGTACCCAACATTTAACAGGTTCCGCAAACAAGGTTGCCATATAGATCATTAATACTGAGTCTAATTAAGATTGAACAGATGCCCATACCCAACATTTAACAGGTTCCGCACACAAGGGGTGCCATATAGATCATTAACACTGAGTCTAATTAAGATTGAACGGAAGCCCGTACCCAACATTTAACAGGTTCCGCAAACAAGGGTGCCATATAGATCATTAATACTGAGTCTAATTAAGATTGAACGGATGCCCATACCCAACATTTAACAGGTTCCGCATACAAGGGTGCCATATAGATCATTAACACTGAGTCTAATTAAGATTGAACGGTTGCCCGTACCCTACATTTAACAGGTACCGCATACAAGGGTGCCATATAGATCATTAACACTTAGTCTAATTAAGATTGAACCGATGCCCGTATCCAACATTTAACAGGTTCCGCATACAAGGGTGTCATATAGATCATTAACAATGAGTCTAATTAAGATTGAACGGATGCCCGTACCCAACATTTAAAAGGATCCGCATACAAGGGGTGCCATATAGATCATTAACACTGAGTCTAATTAAGATTGAACGGTTGCCCGTACCCTACATTTAACAGGTACCGCATACAAGGGTGTCATATAGATCATTAACAATGAGTCTAATTAAGATTGAACGGATGCCCGTACCCAACATTTAACAGGTTCCGCATACAAGGGTGTCATATAGCTCATTAACACTGAGTCGAATTAAGATTGAACGGATTCCCGTACCCAACATTTAACAGGTTCCGCATACAAGGGTGTCATATATATCATTAACACTGAGTCGAATTAGGATTGAACGGATTCCCGTATCCAACATTTAACAGGTTGTGCATACAAGGGGTGCCATATAGATCATTCACACTGAGTCTAATTAAGATTGAACGGATGCCCGTACCCAACATTTAACAGGTTCCGCATAGAAGGGTGTCTAATGAAGATTGAACGGATGCCCGTACCCAACATCTAACAGGTTCCGCATACAAGGGTGCCATATAGATCATTAACACTGAGGCTAATTAAGATTGAACGGCTGTCAGTACCCAACATTTAAAAGGTTCCGCATACAAGGGTGCCATACAGATAATTAACAATGAGTTTAATTAAGATTGAACGGATGCCCGCAACCAACATTTAACAGGTTCCGCATACAAGTGTGCCATATAGATCATTCACGGCGAGTCTAATTAAGCTTGAACAGATGTCGGTACCCAACATTTAACAGGTTCCGCACACAAGGGGGGCCATATAGATAATTAACACTGAGTCTAATGAAGATTGAACGTATGCCCGTACCCAACATTTAACAGGTTGCGCATACAAGGGGTGGCATATAGATAATTAAAACTGAGTCTAATGAAGATTGAACGGATGCCCGAACCCAACATTTAACAGGTTCCGCATACAAGTGTGCCATATAGATCATTCACGGCGAGTCTAATTAAGCTTGAACAGATGTCGGTACCCAACATTTAACAGGTTCCGCAAACAAGGGGTGCCATATAGATCATTAACTCTGAGTCTAATTAAGATTGAACGGATGCCCGTACCCAACATTTAACAGGTTCCGCATACAAGGGTGACATATAGATCATTAACACTGAGGCTAATTAAGATTGAACGGATGTCAGTACCCAACATTTAAAAGGTTCCGCATACAAGGGTGCCATATAGATAATTAACAATGAGTTTAATTAAGATTGAACGGATGCCCGCAACCAACATTTAACAGGTTCCGCATACAAGTGTGCCATATAGATCATTCACGGCGAGTCTAATTAAGATTGAACAGATGTCGGTACCCAACATTTAACAGGTTCCGCACACAAGGGGTGCCATATAGATCATTAACACTGGGTCTAATGAAGATTGAACGGATGCCCATAACCAACATTTAACAGGTTGCGCATATAAGGGTGCCATAAAGAAGGGTGCCATATAGATCATTAATACTGAGTCTAATTAAGATTGAACGGATGTCCGTACACAACATTTAACAGGTTCCGCATACAAGGGGTGGCATATAGATCATTAACACTGAGCCTAATTAAGATTGAACGGATGCTCGTACCCAACATTAAACAGGTTCCGCATACAAGGGGGGGCATATAGATCATTAACACTGAGTCTAATGAGATTGAACGGATGCCCGTAACCAACATTTAACAGGTTCCGCATACAAGTGTGCCATATAGGTACCCAACATTTAACAGGTTCCGCATACAAGGGTGCCATATAGATCATTAACACTGAGGCTAATTAAGATTGAACGGATGTCAGTACCCAACATTTAAAAGGTTCCGCATACAAGGGTGCCATACAGATCATTAACACTGAGTCTAATGAAGATTGAACGGATGCCCGTAACCAACATTTAACAGGTTGCGCATATAAGGGTGCCATAAAGATCATTCACGGCGAGTCTAATTAAGATTGAACGGATGCCCGTACCCAACATTTAACAGGTTC